GGGTCACAAGCCTTCCTTGGAGGTCTGTGAAGGGGAAAGAAGACTGTGGCAAACAAGAGAGGGCTGGGAATGGAACACAAAGAAAACGTCTACTCCGGAGGTACCCTGTCGTTGAGCCGCAGCCCAGCCCCCACCTGCCTGCCGCCAGCCCGCCGTGGCCCGCTCTGGCATGGCTCCGGGGGGCGCGGTGCCAACCCGAGCTCTCCCCCCACCATGTCCTTTTGCTGCTTCCAAAATAACTCTCTGCTCACTGTCCAAGTTTGGCCTCTCGGGTGTTTTTCTCCTCCCGGGACCTGTTCTCCCATGTCTAAAGGATAGTGGGAGAGACCTCCATTGTTGTTGGAAACCAGGGACCACCTCCTTTTTACAGTGGATTACTTAGCACAAAAGCTCTGCTACGATCCTGAGAGCCCCTAAGTCAATAAGTCCATTTCACTTGGCTCAACAATGGTATTTCCAGGAGGAGGAGGGAGCTGGAAATTTCTTCCCCACCTCCAACTCCTGCACCTTTGCAAGGTGTCCAAAGCCCCAAACAGCACCATGTCCTTGGTCCTGCTCCCAGCAGAAAGAGTTACTCATCTAAAGTCACACAGCCCACTAGGGAAGAATGCAAAAAAGGGTCCTTGCGGGCCCTCAGGTATGCCCAGGGCAGAGACGGAGCTTGGTCTCCAACACTGCCTTTCCTTGGGCTATAAGGGAGAGAGGACTTTCATTCCCAGGAACTTCATTTCTAAGGAGAAGATGGGCCCTCAGATGGCCTGGCCCGGAAGCCTAGACTTCCGCTTTGGAGAGCCTCCCATCAGGCACCGGGCCTGGCTGCATCTCCTCCAGGCGTCCCTGTAAGCAGGATTGCTTCCTTCAGCAGCCCAGCCCAGCAGCCCCAAAGCAGACTGGCTCCTTGAAAGGCCATTTCCCTGAAGGTCAACAGGAGGAGACTTTGTTAGTGAGAAAGGAGGGCAGCAAGAAGAAGTCATCTAACTGGGCCTGGAGGACGAGGCTCTGGCACCCCTGACCCCACCTGTCACTATTGGCCCTGCTGTTCCCTGCCTGGGCCTTAGGGACCCATTTGTAGTTAGAGGCATTAAGAAAAAAACAACACTAACAGCCAGTGTGCTTCAGCAAAGGCTGCGCTTTGCTTTCTTCATCTCATTTGCTCCTCATCGCCATCCCACCAGGTAGATACTATTAGTGTTTCCATTTGAAAGATTTAGCAACTGAAACCGGAAAGGCAGACTGACTTCCCCAAAGACTGGCAGCAGAGCTGAGACTCAAGCCATGCACCACACTCCACAGCCCCCATGCGATGCGACCCAAGGCCCAGCGGGGTGCTCACCCGGCCCTCCCCTGGGCCCTGGGTCAGTGGGGGGAGCCGGCTGCAGCATGTGTGGGGCCATCAGGGTTGAGAGCCTGTGCAAGGGGGAAGGCGGGGCTGAGGGGTGGGCCAGGGGCCAACCGCGCTTGGAGCCAGGCTTTCTTCTACTCCGCCAGCCGCCCCACCCGGCCGCACCCCATGCCCGCTGCTGCCAGAGCCGAGAGGTTTCCTTTTTCTTTTGCCTAGGGCTGTTTCCTGCCTTTCCTTTGAACTGGGGTGTTGGCTCCCCCACACGCTCACTCTCCTCCAGCGACCCCCCGGAGGAAGGCCTGCCCTCTGACGGGCCCATCCCCCAGGCCTGCACGGGAGGTCCCAGAGGACCCCGTTTCCTGGAACACCCTAGCCCTCCTTGCCTTCTCTCTGCTCTGCTCTGGGTGCTGGCTGTACTCTCCTCTGCCCCTCTTTCCCTGCCCGAGCTTGCTGCCAAGCACTGGGGGGGGGGTGGCTGTCCTACACCAGCAACAGGTGATTCCTCCCTTCCTTTCTAGTTTTCAACCAAATGAGGGGACACTGAGGTCCAGAGAAGTTTTAGGACTTCCATGGGGTCTGCTAGCAACTGAGGCACCAAGGGTTGGAACTCACAAACCCCAAGTTTCCAGCAGAAGGGACAGGCTTTTAGAGCCCATTAGAAAGGCACTCACACTGGCTGGAAAGGAGCCCCAGGTAGGAGCGAAGGCCAGCACACCCACCCCCCGAGCATCTCCCCAGGGCCAGCTCTCCCCCACTGCAGCCACATGCTCCCTACATCCCGTCTGACAGCCCGCAGGACCCCATCTGGGGAATGCTGGGGAGCAGGCTGAGGTCTGCCATCAGTCCCTTCCTTACCCTTCCAGAAAGCCCTAAGCCGACCGGCAGGGAAAGAATCGAAGGCCACTCTGGGTCCTCACTTTGCTCCTGCAGATTGTCTCCTTGCCAGCAGCTCTCTCGCTGTCACGGTCCCCAACAGGTGCACCACACCTTTCTCAAAATGGGACTGCTCCTCTCCCTCTAGAGGTAGCTCCAGGACAGCCTCCTTCAGGAAGGCTTCCTCAACTGCTGCCCCAGGGCCCTGGTCCCTAATAACAACGCTGGCTAATACTTAATGAGTTCTTCCTCGGGCCAGATCCCATGCCAAACCCTCTACAAACATTGTTCAGTGAATTCACACCGCAGCCTTTAGGGTTCGATATTAGCTCCATTTATAGATGAGGAAACTGAGTCACAGGGGACAAATGAACTGGCTCAGGTTCATACAGCTAAGAGGCAACGACTTAAGCCCTGTGTAGTGTGGTCAATGCTTGACTTTTTTGTTTGTTTTGTTTTTTTGAGACAGGATTTCACTATGTAGTCCAGGCTGGCCTTGAACTCAAAGAAATCCTCCTGCCTAAGCCTCCCTAGAGCTAAAATTACAGGAATGTGCCACCACGCCCAGCAATGCCTGACTCTTAAGACTTAAGCCCCCTGGCACTCTTGCCCTTCAACATCTTTCCTCCATCTTTCTGGTTACAGACATGCAAAGCAGCCACGAGGAGGCTGCAGGTTACCCTGAGTCTATACACACACACACACAATGAACTTTCACAGGAGTCTGAATTCGCAGGAAAGCAGTCCAGGGTGGGAGAGCGGGGGAGCTAAGGCACACAGCGCAGGGTGGGAGAGCGGGGGAGCTAATGCACACACACTTCCCCCTGGTGGCAGTGAGTGAAGGAAATGGGTGCATAGGGGTGACCTCGAGTGTGTGAGCCTCGATCTTGTGCAGCTAGCTGACCACGAGGCTTTTCTCAGCTTTAGGAGGCAAAGAATGATTCCAAGAACTACCCAGTCCTTCCTTCTCTGAGACAGCGCTAGCAATCTGCCCAGCAGACATTTGCTGTCTATGTATCCCTGTCTCCCGTCATGTGCATAGAGCAAGAGGAACTTCCTTTCACCACAGGTCGGAACGCTCCAGAGCCAGCAGCCTCAGCTCCTCCTCGGTCCTTTCCCTGAAGAGCCTTGTCCAGGGGAGCCGTACAACCTGTCCAGTCTCACTGTGCCTCCTACGAGAGGAGAATTTTTTTTTTTTTTTTTTTTTTGTACAGGGGTTTGAAACCAGGGCCTCATGCCTGCTAGGCAAACACTCTACCACTGAGCTACATTCCCAGCCCTTTTTAAATATGAAGGCAGGGTCTTGCCAAGTCACCCAGGCTGAGCTCAAATTTGCAATCCTCACTCAGTCTCCTCACTCAGTGGGATTACAGGTGTGTGCCACCACTCCTGACCCAGGAGACTTTTTAAAGAGACACTTGAAGGACTGTGAATAAGTGAAGTCTGCTCTCCTACCCATGGACAGGCTGGCAATTGAGCCCCAGAATAGTTGTAGCTTTTGGACGTGAGTGTCAAAGCAAAGGACATAAAGACTTCCCGGTCTTTCCTGGAACCAGGAATGGACAGAAGTGAGGCAGCTACGTCACTGAAGGTGCAGGCTAGAAGGAGGGACTTGCACCACCTGGGGTGGGGGAGCAGATGTCCAGTATTGGGTGAAATCAAGGAATGCATAAGAGGACGCAGAGGTAGCTTCTGCAGACCCAGGCATCTCCTAACACCGCTGAGAGGCGCCCAGAGCCCAAGCCTCCCATCTGGCTCTGACTGATGCCCTCACCCTCACTCCACCTTCAAATGCCTTTCAGTGCCTCCTTGGAGCCAGAGGGGAGCTCCCCTGAGCACCATCCCACTGTCCGGTACAACCCCTCCACAGCCCAGAGCAGAAGACATGGTCTTCCCCACCTCCCTTCAATGTTCCAGGCCCCACCCATACTGAAGTCCCCACATTGTGCTGGGACCCAGCTCCAGCTCTACCCTTTTCCACTCCTAGAAGCTTTCTTAGTCCCCAGGGAAACTTGGGACCAGCTCAGTCCCACCTCTGCTGAACCTAAAGGTATTCACATGTCCCAGGGCACGGTGTCCAGGTAGTGGGGAAATCTCTGCATGCACGGCCCTCGACCTCCTTCCTAAGTCCTGCAGGAAGAGGGAGCATGGGTGAGTCTGGGAAGACTTGAATTCTAGGAAAGGAGTCAGGACTGAGCACCTCTGGACCATCCTACAGCCCCTGACCCTTTAACCCAGGCAAAGGACCTCCTCCCACACCACACAGGCTCAATAGAAGTCATTAGCAAAATCTTTTTAGCCACAATGTCTCCCAGTGGCACCGTGGCACCTACCCTCAGTATATAACGCTACGAGACCTAGGGCTGCTCTGCCAGCTGTCAGCTCCGTCCCCTTTGGCCTTGAGCTCCTGTGGCTTCCTCTGCCATCATCCCCTGAATGGTACAAGACTCAGTTTGCTTCATTGGAACATGGACATTACTTTCTCCTTCTCACTCCCTCCCTTGGCACACAGCTTTTTGAAGTGGATGAGGACATTTCAGCTGATGACAGAAGTTGGGGAATTGCCCTTAGGGTCCTTACACCAACCAGGACACTGCCAATCCTAAGCACCCTGGTTGCATTTAGTCCTATATGGTTTTTGTTTTTTTTTTTAGACAGGGTTTTGCTATGTAGTTCAAGCTGGACTTTAACTCACTACGTAGCCCAGGCTGGCCTCAAACTCACAGCGATCTATCTGCATCAGCCTCTCAAGTGCTGCGATTATAGGTATGTGCTACCATACCTAGCTAGTCCCATAGGGAGGCTGAGCCTTAATAAAACTAACCCTACTCCCCCTTCCGCAGGGTTCCTCTATCCTGAGACCCCAGAGGCACGAGGGGCTGGGAGTAGTCCCAGGATCCTACCCCTGAGCCGGTGTCCTCAGACTCTCCCACCTGCTGCCCCTCCTCTGAGGACCTGCCTGGGCAGGGTGAGGCCAGAGGAGGGTGCCTGTCCCCAGAGCAGGGTTGGGGTGGGGGCGGGTGGTCTGGAATGTGCTCTCACCCCCTTCTCCTGCCCAGGTGCTAAGGAGCGGGAGCCCCCCACCCACCCTCCAGCTCTGTGGGGAGCTCTTCTGAGCTGTCCCGGGACAGCTGCCCCCAATAGGGTCCCCTTCACGCGCCATCTCACCCCAACTCAGACTCTAAAAATGGTTCTCTGGTTTTCAGCCTCGGCGCCTGCCCACAAATTAGTGTCTCCAACACCGCCTCCTGGGACACGACTTCAGGGAGGCCTCGGGGGGCAGGGGGCTCAGCAGAGGAAGATGAAGCTGGCAGAATCCCCTTCTGAGGAGCCCAGCGTGGGCCAGGCCCCCTCCCCGCTAGTGCGACCCCACACCAAGCTGAGTGACAGCTCTGCTCTCCTTGACAGGGCAGAGGGACAGATCTCGCCTCCACCCACCCGAGCACACTCCCCTCACCTCCACCACCAGGGCAGTCAGTGTCACCCACGGCCCCTGTCCTGGGCACTGCTCTGCCGGAGAAGACTGCAAGGCAAGAGGCTGCCAACCCCTGCCCTCCTGCCGGGAGTCCACAGCCCACCCTGCCAGGTCTGGGATCCGCGGAACCCCAGCCAGGGAAGCAGGGCTCACTGCAGCCTGATCCTTAGCCCCAGATTCTTCTCTCCTCCCGGTCCTGCAGCAGAGGACTTGGAAGGGGAAGAGCCTTCCTCGGGATGCCCATGCCCCGGAGCACCAAAGGGGCAGGTGCCCTCGACCATTGCCGGGACAGGGTGCTAGTGAGGAGGAGGGTCTTCGGGCGAGTACTCACAGGTAAGCCGTCAGGGGATCCAGGTCCCCTGGCACAGTGGAGAGCCCGAGCTCCGAGCAGTCGGCCGACAGCATGATGCCATCCTCCTGGCAGTGGCAGGGGGCCGGGCAGGCTGCGCGCCCCTGGCCGGGCTGAGGGGCGCCGCCCGCACACCGGGAGGCGCACAGCGAGGCGCAGAACCACAGCGCCCAGTACCCGGGCGGGCTGGGCATCTCGCGGCGGGCTGCGGGGCACCTGGCGGGTGCACGGGCGGGCGCACGGGTGCAGTGGCCTCGGGGGCTCGCGTCCCGGTGCCACGACCGGACCCGCGGGCTGCGCCGTCGGTGGGGACCGCCCCGCGGCTCTGCTTGGCGTCGGCAGCGGCGGCGCGAGCGCAGGGACCTTGCAGTCAGAGAGGGGCAGGCATTGTTGAGTGATCTTCGTTATTCAGTTTCACAGGCTGGGCTCGGCGAGGGAGGGAGACACAGGCGGAGGAGGAGTCAAGGAAACTTTCTACGCTGCAGCTTGCTTCCCTTCCCTCCTTCTTTCCGAACTGGCAGGAATTTCATCCCGGAAAGGGGGTGGGGGGGAGCGGTGAGAAGCCAGAGAGGCTCAGCATGTGCGAGACCTGCACTTGTTGGAAGAGGGTGCGCCAGAGCCTGGGCCCAGAGGCTCGCGCCCCTCTTGCCTTTGGGGACAGCCACAGGGTCACCGAGGACCCAGAGGAGGCCCTGGGGAAGAGGCCCTCCCCGGCCCCCGGGCCCTCACCCCTGGAGGGGCCCAGACCCAAGAGAAGCGCTTTGCTCAAAATCACACGGCCGGAGGGGGCGGCCCGAACTGGGGCGCGGGTCAGCCCTCCCCGCCTGCGCCCTGGGTGAGGGAAAGCTGTCCTCGGGGGTCTGTGATGCCAGGAGCCGGGTCCGCGGCAAGCTGGGATGAGAGGCGGTGGGCGCGGAGGGGCCGCACCCTGACACTAAAGAGATGGGCACGGATCTTCGCCCACTGAGTCACAGCGGCTGCAGAGGCACTCGTGTGCTCGCAGTCAGGTTTATGGCCCGGGGATCACCTTGGTGTCCGCTCCCGAGGTAGGAAGGCCAAGGGGCTTCGCTGTTCGCAGTGGGTTGTCAGCGCCTGTCAGAAAGTCAGCAGACTGGCGCCACCTGGAGGGTGGGTGCTGCAGCTGCCGCTTAGCCACTTCCAGGCTAGAGTCCAAGATTCTCCTTGGCCAGGGAGCCACGGAGCCAGGGAGCAGGGAGAACAGCGGTTGATAGTGGACTCCAGTCCCTGTTCTCTCCTTCGGGCATGCTTGGCTGGCTGTGCTTCCTTCACGTAACCTCTTGCTTCCTGTAGTTTCTTGATCTTTCTGAGCCAACCCCAGCGCAGAGCTAGAGCAGGCTGAGAGCACCCTCTTCCTAGCTTTGCTGTTCCCCAAGTCCACCTAGAGTGCACACCAGAAGCACGGCGACCTGGGGACAGCCCAGATTCCTTCCACATCCCAGGACCCTCTCATCAATCCCTCCCCACCCTCTGCTGACCTCCTGGGACCAGAGGGGCTGCACAGCTGGACAGCAAAGCCAGCAGGTCCTGGGACCCTAGGACTCCAGTTGGGGCCATGGCCCTAGAAGTGAGAGCTGTTCCTTAGGATGGCCCTGCACAGCAATAAGACAGAGCGCCACGCCGAGCCCGCAGGTAGGCCTGCGTTCCTGGCTCCTGCCTCTGTGACCTCGGCTCCCTCCCATTCCCGCTGCTGCAGTGTGAGGGGCCCAGGCTGGGAAGACCATGCAGCTTCCCTGGCAGCCCCCGGAGGCAGGCCCGGGCAGGGCCATTGTGCAGCAGGGCCGAGGACTCCTGAGGAGCCCAATGTACAGCAGAGGACCCTGACCCTGGGTCCTCCCTGGAGAAGCACCAGAGCCTAACTCATCCTGGGAAGGCTCCTGACGGGCAGAAAGCCTTACTTTTCTTCAAGTGGGCCTGAAAAGGACCCCACCCCACCCCCACTGAACTCAGATGCCTGGCACATTCTTGAGGAACTGAGGTTGCCCAGTGAGACCCCTGCCCCTGCCCCTGGTGGGTGGTCTCGTTCCACTTAAGGGAATTCTGTTCTGATATGTCCTGTGTCATCCCAATATCCTTCAACAAGGTCATCTGCCTCCAGTGCCTGGTACCATGGCACTCAGAAACCTGCAGTCTAACAAGGAGACAGGCCAGAGCTGATGAGGTGACCAGCAATCCTGTCCTGATGTGCAGTCAGCTCCGACAGTGTCCGGAACAGGCAGCCGCATCTCCGCCCTCCTCTCGGGTCTCCTAGCTTTCCCGCCTCCACATCTCTCATGTCTTCTCCCACCTCCCTGCTCCATGGAGGGACGGAAGGAAGAAGGCAAGACAGCAGGGAAAGCGGGGCCACGCTGGCCTGAGGGCCACAGTGTGGCTGTAGCATCTCCACCCCAAGGAGCCTGGCAGGTAGAGAAAGCTGGGATGGCAGGAGGAGGGGCAGGGTGAGTCCTAATGCATTCAGGGGCCTGGTTGGGGAAGCGGGGCTCTAAATCCAGGGCTCAGCGCCAAAACACTAGGGGTGGAGGGACCGAAGTGTAAGGAAACTGGGAAACTAGGGAGTAGGGGGGAGCCAACAGCCTACAGCTGGGGTCAGTGGACTCAGCTCGACCTCAGGCCCGGCTCCCCTCTCTGCTCCGCAGGCCCTTGTGTTGGGCCCCATGTCAGAGGACAGACAGACAGAGCGCCCAGCCTCAGCCATGTGTCTTTATTCCCCACCCTTCCGTTCACACCATGGTGCCCCGTAGGGGCTGCCCCACTGGAAGCCAGGCCAGGGGCCTGGCGAGGCACAGGCTGCTTCTGGACTCAGGGCAGCCCATCCACCAGTGCGCTGTTCAGACAGTTGTAGAGGTAGATATACTGCTCCTGTGGGTAGACAAGGATAAGGAGGCTCACTCTGCCTGCCCAAACCAGAGAGGGAAGAGCCCCAGTCTCCCAGTCCCCGAGACACTATCTAGACAAGAACATAGTGGCCCATGCGCCACCTGGTGGCGATAGGGGTGGCACTAGCCAGGGGCTGCCTGCAGCTGGGGCAAACCTGCCTTCTCTCCCCATCCCTTCCCACAGCTGCGCCCCTGGTCGCCTCTCACCAGAGTGGGGGTCATGAAGGCGCAGGCCTGTGACTGCTGCAGGACTGCGTTAAAGACATCCACAGTGCGCTCAGCCCCCGCCTGCTGCAGCAGCTGCTCCATGGCCAGGAAGGTGCCCAGCTGGGCTGCACCTTTGCTGCAAAGGACCCAGAGTTGGATGGGGTAAGTGGAGGGAATGGGATGGGAATATCCAGGGACATGGGGAAACCAGACCTAGAGAAGAGCTCCTGGGAACTTTGTCCATCGACCAAACTGGGCCCAGGCAGAGAGGGGGGTAAATCCCTACCACATCCCTGACCACAGGGCCAGAGAAGACAAGGCCCTGGCAGACCATCTCATTGACCCAGAACCCAAGCGGGGCTCAGGGAGATTTGTCCTCCAGCACCTGCAGTGGCTGAGAAGTGTACCAGGCTTCTTGTTCTTGCCCCGGAAGCAGCACTGCCCCACAGCAATCAAGAAAGGCAGCAGGGCGGTAGCAGGCAGCTCGTGCCCAGGCTCCTGGCAGGGGAACTGCAGCTGCTGTACCAGCCTCTCAGTCCCGCTCTCTCCCTGGGGCAAAGACCAGATTGACATTGGTGCCCGGAGGGCAGGGGGAGCCAGCACAGAACTCTGCCCCCACTGCCCACCACCCCGTGTCCTGTGGCCTCAGCACCTACGTGTGTGACCCTGAAGAGAGTACAGGGCCAGTTGGCAGTGCTGCTGTCCACCACCCAGTGCACGGTCACCATGCCTGTGATGACGGGCTGCGTCTCTGTTGGCCAGAACGCCTGTAGCTGGGACCAAATCAGAGCTCAGCTTCCTCAGGTCTCTGCCGACACCCTCCCCACAGACAGTAGCACACGCTCCTCCACCTAGGCCCAGCTCCCGCCTGGCCCGTCCTCTGTCTCTGCTCGCCTCACCTTCTCCTGGGTGTCAGGCGGGCTCAAGGAGACCAGGACGTGGGCCCCGTGCTCCCACACCAGCTCCCAGAGCTCTTTGGGCTCCGCAGGCCCGGTCAACACCACGTGGTCGCGGCCCAAAGGCCCACCCTGCAGAGCAGAACTCGTTGGCTCCCCAGGGACTGAGGTGTCTCCCCTGCCCGCCCCACAGCTCCAGGAGCTGAGAGGTACAAGTGGTCAGAGAGGGCCACCCGCATCATCTCACAGGGAAGAGCCAGGCTTCCGGGACAGCATCAGCAGAGCTCTCTTCCATGGCAGAAGGCTGAGACTGAGAGCGAGCCCCTGCAGAAAGTGCTGCGGTGAGGCGGCGGGTGCTCCCCAGCCCAGGAGTGCCCCCCAAATCCCGGTACCCAGCGGACTCACAGGAGACAGTGCTGTCCTGCTCACAGCCAGAAGGGGGCGATGAACATCCAGCCTCGTTCTTGATAGCTTGCAGCAGGAGCTGGGAGATGGACACCCTGAGGCCAGGCAGGGGAGAGCTGTCCGCCTGTGCCACCTTTCCCCGGCCTGAGGCATACCTTGTACTCCTTCAGGAAGCCAGCATTGGCATTGGCTGCCCTCTTGGCACACGCCTGTGCAAAGTTGGCCACTGAGATGGGTCCAGTCCTGGGTTGAGGAGGAGAGAGGAGGCACACGGGGTGGCCCAGCTGCTGCTGTGCAGCTCAGGACTGGAGGCACAGGGAGCCCTGGGGAGCCAGACTCACTCCAAGGTGCCCGAGGGCTCTTGCAGAATCCTGCTCAGGACGCAGCTGTGCAGGAAGACATACTGGCTCTGGTGGGGGAGAGGGTGTCCCTGCTGAGCTGGGCAGCCCAGCTGCCAGCATCCAAGCCCCGTGCAAGGCAGGAGCACGACAGGAGGACGGAACCTCCCCTGTGCTGTCCCAGGGTCCAAGCTGGCAGGGCCAGGCCTTCCTCCCCTTTTCCAGAAAGGAAAACAGCAGCCCAAGTAGATGTGGCACCTTTGAGCCTCTTGCCCTGGGCTCCCGCATGTGGCCCTGTGAGCTCCTTTCCCCGGTCCCTCTGTGACTGTGTCCCCGAGGCCACCCGCCCCAGCCCACTCCCGGGGTGCTGAGGCCCTCACCGGGGTCTGGATCATGAAGGGCCGATGCAGCCGGAGTGTGTGCACTGTGTTGAACACATCCACCACCTGCTCCTCCTCCAGCTGCTGCAGCAGCCTCAAAAGGGCCACAAAGGTGCCGGTGCGGCCCACGCCCGCGCTGCAGGGACAGCCCTGCGGTGAGTGGGGGAAGGCCACCGTGTCCCCACCGTGCCCCCTGTTCAAGGCCAGGCAGGGGTCTCCGCAGCCCCACTGCCCTCACCTGCAGTGCACCAGGAGGGGCCCCACGCCCTGGGTGGCCCTCGCCTGATCCTGAACCAGCTCCACAAAGGCGAGCAGGGAACCAGGGGCCTCGGGGATGCTGTGGTCCGGCCAGGTGGTGAACTGCAGCTGCTTCACCCTCCGCTGTTGGTGCTGGGCACCCTGAGGCAAGGGTGGGCAGACGGGGTAGAGCTGTGCTGCTGCGCGGTGACTTCCTAGCCCTAAGGTCCTTTGTCTGCTCTGAAACCACCCTCACCAGCTCCCCGAGGGCAGAGGTGAGGCCCCCCCCTCAGACTGAGCGTCCCTTTATACCAGTCTGGAGGCCCTTGGAGTCCCTGGGTCCCCGGAGAGCCTCTTGGTTAATCTCTGCCAGCTGAGGGTGCCCAGGCGGGGGTGATTCTAGTACCCGGCTTCCCTGCCCCAGAAATCCCAGCCCAAGAATGCAGCCAAGGGTTGTGGTGAGCAGGGAGCCTTGAGCTGAGTGGAGGGACCTGAGATCCACCCTTTACTTCTCCACCCACCCCCAGCTTCCCTGGGTGCTGCCAGAGTCCGGGATCCTCAGCATGAAGGGACCATGGAGACCCAGGAGGGGGATGTCTCTCCATGTCTGAGCGGCGAAAGCCACCCCACCCCGCCCTGCGCCCTGGGCACACACGTGCTGCAGCTCGAACTCCCTCTTGGTCCACTCCTCCCTGGGCTCCTCAGCCAGGAGGTGGATGGTGATGTGGCCGTGGATGATGGGGGTGGAGTCTGCTGGCCAGTAATGCTCACAGAGCACCTAGGACCAAGGGCCAGGGAGGGAGAGGGTGGCTGTAGGCCCAGCGATATCACTGCCACCCCCGCTGTATCCAGTCCCAACCCTCCTCACCCATCTTTTTGGTGCCTACCACCCTGATGAGATTCTGCTCTTTATACTCCAACTCTGAGGCCACGTCCCCCAGAAGTCCCCCTCCCCTGCGTGGGCATTCACCTCCTCACCCTGGACCCTCCTCTGGCCCGGAGGACCCTGCATTAGTGACTAGCTCCTTTGTGAAACTGGTGGCCCTGATTTAGGAACCATCTGCCCTTGCCTTGTGGCCCCAGTAGAAGGACAGACTTAGCAGCCTGTCTCAGCCTAGGTCCCTGTAGGGAACCAGGATCAGAGGAGATGCCCCAGGCTTATGGAGAGAGAGTTGGCTGAGAGTCCTACGTCCCATCCCGGAGTCAAACCAGGAGTTTATGTACCTGACCCTTCTCCCTGCTGCCCCACCTCGGGAGACCCTGGGAACCCCCCACCTTGCAGGCCTAACTGGCCTGGTGCCTGTCTGCTTCATGTCCCTGCAGAAGGGAGCAAGAGGACCATCCCTGCAGGGGAGACGTGTGCCCTCTGGCGGCCATTCCGGGAAGCTGCACTGCGCGCTCACCCTCCCGTTCTCCATGCCCACGGTCAGCATGACGATGGTGTGGACCTGCTGCTCCCACACCAGCCGCCAAAAGTCTTCCAGCGTCTTCTTGAGAGGCCCCTGGGTGGCAATGTACTCTCTCGGGTGGGTGTAGCCCTGAGGTGCGGGGTGGAGGGCAGGAACACCTTAACAGGTGTCTTGGGCCCCTGGGCCCTCCAAACACGCAGCAGTAGGCATGACCCTGTGTGACCTCCAGGAGTGAACAGGCTGTGTACATGCCTACACATGTGCAAACACATGGACACGTGTGTACAGCAAGAGCTCACGCCAGGAGAGGTGACTTCAGGGACAGTTACACCACCCGTGCCCCATGCCTCGAAGGGACAAGAAAGCCTACATGAAAGTAACAAAACCCAGACATGCGAGAAGCAGCCTTACCCCATCCATCCTCTTCACCAACCCTAGAGCAGCTGTCCTAAAACTAAGCCCTACCTTTCTTCCATGCTCAAAAACCGTCCATGGCTCCCCATTACCCACCACATAGAATCCAGAGCCCTCAGGCTAACAGTCAAGGTCCTCCTTCATCCAACCCCAATCTACTTTTCGCATTCCTCATCCCTTATCAAAAGGCCCCCCATCCTTTAAGAGACCGAATGTCCCTCCTCCAGGAAACCTCTTGATTCCTCGGGTGGGCCAGACTTTTCCTTCTTCTGTGAGCTCGGAGCACAGTGCTTGTTCCCCTATTCCGGCACTTGTCACACACATCTAGGTGGCAGATGTCACACACATACCATGAGCTCTCTCCCTTGAAGGTATTTTTTTTTTGTTTTGTTTTGTTTTGGTTTTTGTCTTTTCTTCCAGTACCAGGAATCAAACTCACGACCTTGCACTTGCTAGGCAGGCACTGTGCCGCTGAGCTAAATCCCCAGCCCCTCCCTTGAAGGTGTGAATGTGGCTGGCTCTGTTCTGCCCACCGGGGCCCAGCACAGAGCCTGGCACAAAACCCACTGCTGCATTGATCTGAAGGAGTAGAAGCAGGGCGTCTTGGGCCGCTGCTAAAGTAAGGCAGGGCAGCGTGTCCTGCGAGCCGGCCATGTCCCAAGCAAACACCCCACAGACAGCCCACTGTGGCCCTTACTGGGATGAAGTTGGCATTGATGTAGTCGGAGTGGGGCTCTCCCGCCAGCTGGGCCAGCCTGACCCTGGAGTGGTCATCTGCAGAGGGCAGAAGCCATGAGTCCAGGGTCCTCCTTCAGGCCGAGCTCTGTCCCTCTGCCCAGGTCCCTGTCCCGCCCCCAGAACTCACAGGGCAGCACATGCGGGTAACGGTTTTTGGTGATGTTGGCAGGGTGTTCGGCCTCCGACCTGGGCTGCTCCCTGCCCACCTCCTTCAGTTCCTATAGAGATCAAGGCTGGCGCTGGTTACTGAAACCACAGCAGGTAAGGGGCAGGCATGGCGACTGCGAGGTCCCGCCCAGCCTAGATGGCCCCTGGTCCTCCCTACTGGACCTGTGGGCGTACCGATCCTTACCTCAAACTCTTGAAAGAAACCCTGGTGCGCGTGAGCGCTCTTGGCCTCGAAGCTCTGCCGGAAGCTGTGCATGGGGATGGGCCGGTGGGCCCACCTGGTGGGAGAGGGGGAGTAGATCTCACCCTGTGGGTGACAGGTACAGAGCCCGCTGCGAAACCTGACCTCAGCGTGGGCAAGGGGCCTGTTTCAAATGCAGACCCCAAGTGGAGCCGCTGTGTTTGTTTGGTTTTTCTGTGTTTGGTTTTTTTTTTTGTTTTTCTCTGGTACCGGGAATCGAACCCATGACCTTGTGCTTGCCAGGCAGGCACTGTGCCGCTGAGCTAAATCCCCAGCCCCGGAGCCACTGTGTTCCAGCAAACCCCTCCAGCCTGGGCAGCAAACCACCAACACAAGAAGACGGAAGAGGGTGCAGCGAGAGAGAGGAGTGGGGCACATGCACGCGCATGTGGTCTCTCTGACCCCCTCCCTATTGGCTCTATTAAGGTCAATTCAACAGGGAGTCAGTATGGGGAAAGGAGGTTTGGCCTAATATAACACATGTGATCAGTCCAGTCCGGTAAGGACGACAGAGGGAGACACGGTGGCTCATTTCATGAGTCAGCTCGGTTGAGCCATGGTGTCCAGATATTTGGTCAAACACTATCCTGATGTTGCTTTTGTTTGGGGTGAGATTAACATTTACATTGGTTGACCATGTGTAAAGCAGATTACTCTCCTCACGTGGGGGTGTCTCATCCAGTCAGATGAAGGCCTGAATAGAACAAAGATCGACCTCTCCTGAGTAGGAAAGAATTTTGTCAGCAGACATCTTTGGCTGCCTACCCTGTCAGAGTTTGGATCCCACGGTCACACAGTCATTTTTTTTTCAGTACTAAGGATTGAACCCAGGGTTTTTTGCATGCTAGGCAAACTGTCTACCACTGAGCTACACCTCCAGTCCTTTTTTATTTTGAGACAGGGTCTCACTAAGTTAGCCAGGCTGGTCTTGAACTTGTGTCAGCCTCCCCAGTAGCTGGAATGACAGGCACGCTCCACCATGTCTGGTCAGCTAATTCTTAGTCTCTATCTCTGTCTCTGTCTCTCTGTCTCTCTCTGTCACTGTCTCTCTGTCTCTCTGTCTCTCTCTCTCTTCCCTTGTTGCTGATTTCTCCTGAAATCACAGTGAGTTTGGAGGAGAGAGAGGGGACTCTGCCTGTGAGGACTAAAGTGGGGAGGGGGCTGGCAAGGACCTGGAGCCCCGTCCCGGTGCAGTCACAGAGGAAGAGGCTTCCAGGAGAGCCTTGGCAGTGCTGCCACGTGCCTGCCCAGTGGGCCACACTGCTGCCTCCCAGCAAGGAGTGTAAAAAGGGGCACTCACCGCGGGCCATTGGGCGCAGGCTCGTGCGATGCTCTGTCCTTCTCCGCCCTGCTGAGAGAAGAGACAGAGGCCTGTGAGGGCAGCCCTGGGACGGGCACCAGCTCCCCGGGCCACAGAGCTCTCCCCAAGGCCTCCTCCACTCACCTCTGCCCCCTCGCCCGCCGCCAGCCCAGCAGGCCCAGCGCGGCACAGACGGTGAGTGCGCAGCCCGCCATGACGCCCACTGTGACCGGCAGGGACACTGCTTCCTGGGGGATGCTGGCCCTGGGCTCTGTGGAGGGCCAGGGAAAGATGTAGCATGGCAGCCTGGTTCCCCTGGCCCTGCAGGCCCATGCCAGCTTCTCCTGGACTTGAGACCCTCTGAGCACAGTGACAATGCTCTGTGCCCCCCCAGAAGCCCCCGATGCAACCTGAGGCCAGAACTGGCCCAGCTGAGAAACTGGGAACCCACAGCAAGGATTCTAACGGCCCTCCCCCTCCTCGACACCCTCGCAAGGAACAGGGAAAGGCTTAGCTTCCTGGACCTGCTAGAGTAACACCATCCTCCACAGTGACAGGGTCTCACTAAGTGGTTCAGGCTGGCCTCAAACTCAAGGTGATCCTCCTGCCTGAGCCTCCTGAGTACTGGGACTGCTTTGTTGTGTTTGTTGGCTTGCTTTTGTTTTGTGGTACTGAGGATAGAGCTCAGGTAAGCCCTCTACCACTGAGACACACCCCAGCTATCTTTTTACTTTTTTTAACATAGCTACTAGGAGGTTCCAGATTACATTGGGGTTCACGTTGCATTGGCGGATTGCCTTATGTTCCTGTTGGCCAGTGCTGTTCCAGAAACTCAGTGGCCTGGGGAGCAGCTGGCTGCAGAGCGCAGAGCAGGAGGCCCGCAGCTGTGTTTAGCAGTGAGCTCCTCAGTGCTCTCTGCCTTTTTGCCGCCCCGTCTCAGCTCACCCAGGCCAAGTCTGGTGCCCAGTGGGTCTACCGCTAACTGCTAGGCAGCACGCCATCTCCCAGGAGCTGAGCTCAGTCTCTGGGCTGTTGACTGCATCTGACACTCAGAACAGGGGTCCCAGACTCCTCCCCATCCCCAGGGTCCCACAGGAACCCCCTGCCAGGTGCCCGCCCTACCTGAGAAGGCTGAGAAGGAGATGATGGTCTCAGGGGAGCTGGACCTGGTAAAGGTGGCGACACTGAACCTGGCACAGAGAAGCAGGACTGTCTATTGGGGAAGGACAGGCATGCAAGGAAGCAGGGCCACGGGCAAAGGGTGCTCAGAGGGTGAGCGTTTCCCTCCCTCCTCTCTTTAGAGGCTGTGTGTGGGCTCCCTGCCACTGGTGAGCAGACCACCTCCAGCTTCTCTTCCACTTTCCTGCCCTGTTCTGAGACCAGGAAGAAGCTTTAGAAAAAGGCACCTGGATAGCCTTCTCACTGCTCTGGCAGCCCCAAATAGAACTCATCCTTTGTTTCGTTTCTCTTTTTGCCTTGCCTGCCAGGAAACCCAGTCAAAATAATTCTGTTGGCCCTTATGGGTTAGCACATGCATTCCTTTTGTAACTCAGTCCAGATTGTTCTTGAAAGAATGGATAAACCCTCCCAAACTTAAAGACCCAATCCAAAAATGGGCATCTGAGATGAACACACACTTCTCAGATGAAGAATACAAACAGCAAATAAATATATGAAAAAATGTTCAACATCACCGGTCACTTGAGAGATGCAAATTAAAACAATGCTGAGATTTCATCTCACTCCAGAAAGAATGGCTATCATGAAGAAATCAACCAATAACAAATGCTAGAGGGGCTGTGAAGGAAAAGGAACTCCACTGTTGGTGGGAGTGTAGACTGGTGCAACAACCACTGTGGAAATTAGTGTGGAGATTCCTCAAAAAACTAGGACTGGAGGTCCCCCCCAGCTATTCCCCTGCTGGGTATCTTCCCAAAAGAATTAAAAACATTACATCACAGTGATATATGTGCACCCATGTTTACAGCAGCACAGTTTGTAATAGCTAGATCTTGGAAACATCCCAAATGCCCATCAACTGAGGAATGGGTATAAAAGATGTGGTATTTTTATACAATGGAGTACTACTTAGCTGTAAACAAAGATAAACTCCAGGCTTTTATAGGTAAATGGATGCAACCTGAGACCATACTCATAAGTGAAATAAAACCAGTTGCAAATGTGTAAACATCGTATTGTCTCCCTAGTGTGAGAAGCTGAAAGAGTAAACAAGATCCAAAATGTACAACAGATATTGAAAAATGGAAAGAAACTTCAAAAGGAAAGAGAAATTGGGATGGGGGAATGGAGAAAAAAAGGAAGGGAAAAGCAAAAGGTGTATATATAAGAGAGTTATACTACTAATTTCTCTCAGTTCATTGAAAAGATAGGTTTATGCTAATATTGTTTGGACAAATAAATGCTGATGTCTTGTACTCTCAGTAACTAACTTAAAGATAACAATACGCAATGTATTAACCATTCTTATCCCCTATCATATTGTTTTAGAATTTTGTTTTTTGTTCTCTTTTGTTTTTCTTTAAAATAAAAAAAGTTTAAAATTTTTAAAAATGAATGAATGGATAAGCGACCCACAAACGGTACGTAGAATGGCTCCCCCGCCCTTCAGCCTGAGCCCTCACCTATACTGGGAGCCTGGCTTGAGCTGCCCATTACATATCTCCTGCGTGTGCCCACAGTCTTCTGTACCCACGGGCACTGTCCAGGACCTTGGCACCATCCAGGGCCCCGGGTAGAATGGGTTGGGCAGCAGGACGGCCAGGTAGGAGTCGTGTCCTCTGTAGTAGTGGTCGTACCACGTGTGGTTGATGGCTTCCCGGGCAGGCTGAGCCACTGGGAGAGGAATGGGGAACGCACAGAGCCAGGCGGGCGGTGGACTTGAGATCCCAGACCCTGCCCTGAGGAAGCTACCACATTCTTCCAGCATGCGCCCCCCCCAACTCTCAACCCAACACTGCTGCTGTCCTCCAGAGCATCCTGGGGACCCCTTCCCACTGCAAGACTGGCACTGGCTTCGGAGAGTGCATCTCACCACCCCAAGTCAGGCAACACCCACGCCTCCCAGCCCCTCCTGGGCCCAGGACTCACAAGCCATGCTGCTGGTGGCAATGACACCGTACCACTGGATCTGCCCATCGTCCTTGCCAAACATGCCCCGTGTGATCACCACCCCCATGCCCATCCCAGTCTCCTCCAGCTGGGGGGCTGCAGCTAACTCTGGGGGCTGCCAAGCTGGGGACAGAGAGGAGGAAACTGAGGTGCTGACAAGGTACCTAACCATCAGTCTTCAAGAACAGGGACCACGCCCTTCCTGTGTCCAGCACCTCTGACAGTACCTGGCCACAGATGGCTAATGGACACAGTTCAGTGAGGAATGGAAGGTTCCCAGGCCAGGGCACCAAGGTGCAAAGCCTGAGAGTGAGATACCAAACTAGCACAATGAGCAGGAGAGCAGGCAGAGCCCCAGGCAGCCAGGCCCAGCGAGGGACAGCCCCGGGGCAGGACGGAGGGAGGCTGGGGAGCAGAGGTGGCTCCGAGGGTAGGGAAGCGCCTACCCTCTGCAGAAGTAGTGCACACCAGTGTGACCGCCCGGCTCCACAGCCCATTCCTGCCCAGCACAGTGAGACTGAGGCGGTAGGAGGTGGTAGGCGCCAGGCCGGGCAACACAATAGCATCCTTGGAGGTGTTGGCCTGGAACACGAGGTGAGTGCTCCCTCCTGCAGCCAGCTGCTCCGCCACCACCAGACAGGCACCCACGTCCCCTGCAGGCTTCGTCCAGTTCAGGGCCAGGTGGGTGGCATCAGGTTGGCACTGCACATCCTCCACTGGGTCAGGCTCTGTGGCACCAAAGGCACTGCTGTGAGGGGAGGGGTCAGTGCACCGCAAAAAGATGGCAGCTGGGTCAGGGGCTCTCAAATTTGGCAAATACAAAGGAACAGGCATCTGTGCTCAGGGAAGGGCCTCAGCCACATGGGAGATACAACTCTTTGAGGCATTGCTGCTTTTCTGGAGGAGTCTAGAGGGCGTCACTCAGGGCAGGGGTGGGCACAGCATCCACCTGGAAGGAGCACCTGGCTCAGAACAGAACGGCAGCGCTGCCAGCCTGGCAGGGGCCCTGCACACCCCACTACCGAGGACAACGTACCGACAGGCAGCACCACGGAGTGGGTGGAGGCCTGGAGCGGCCCCGCCCGGCACAGCACCAACAGGGAGAAGCTGCGGCCCGGCAGGAGGCCCCTCAGCACAAGGCGGTCCTGGCCCAGCACCAGGGGCTGCTCCCTGGACAGGTGCCCGGACTCTGAGAGCCGGGCATGGCACACACCCTGCCCGAGGGGACCACTGGCCCAGGCCAGGCTGACCACAGCGCTGCCCGCCTGCATGGACACCAGCACCTCGTGGGGCACGTGGGGGGCTGTGGAAGGAAGGGCAGGAGGTCACCAGGCCACGGGAGCTCACCTGGTGCCTGGGGCTCACAGGCCCGCGAAGGACCCTCAGAGCAGAGCCAGGAAACGGGCCGGTGGGGGTGAGATGCCACGGAGGGAGTGGCCATGGAGGGAGGCACCAGGAGTCTTCAAGGTCGCCCCACCTCTCCCCACTCACTGCCTTCTTCCCATGCCTACTCACAGGTCCAGCCAGAAACATTGGCTGCTGCAGTGTGAAGGGGCCCGGCCCACGTGCCAACCTCCACCTCATACTGAGAGCCTGGAGCCAGTGTGGAGAAGCTTGTGCCGTTCACCTCTGCTCCCACGGTGCCCTCGGCCACCCAGACACCTGCCTGGTACAGCGTCACCTGGTAGCCATCCCGGCCCCCAGGAGCGTGGATCCAGGATGCCCGGAGCTGGGTGGGGCCTTCACTGGTCACATTCACCTGAGGAGGGGCGAGGGGGGCTGTGGGGGGGAAGGTATAGGAGGACAGACAAGAAGAGAGAAAAGAATCTAAAGGAAACATCTGGCTCTTCTGGGCCCCAACGGTCTCCCTCTGCTCCTTCCACCACTGGCCCCGTCAGGAAACACCCAGGACTGAGCCCATGATGCATAAGCGGGTCGTCCCAGGGAGCAGGCCCACGCTCCAAAAGGGGTGAGTGGACGCTTTAGTCCTGCACTGTCCCCATGCCACCAACACACCCATAGTGAGAGCTGGGCTGAGCAGCAGGAGGGCTGAGCCACGGGCCTTTTCCCAGTCCCTGCAGCCAAGGAGCTGTTAAAGCACCTCATGTGGACCAACAGACGGGGTGGGGCGCAGGCGGCACCCTGCCATCCTCAGAGCCTGAGCCCAGGCCTGAGTCCCGCCTCCCTGGCGTCCCCTCATCAGCACTTCTCTCTCTAGATGAGGACACGGAGGCTCGGGGAGGGCGTGCCTTGCTCTTCCCAGCTCCCCTGACTCCCTGGTCACTCTCTCCAGCCCAGCCCAGTGCTAAGGACAGCCATGGTGGCCCTGTTGGAAGAGGGAAGGCCCAGGGTAGGGATGGGTGATGAAGGGCACGGGCAAGGGAGGCTCTGCAGAGGACACTCACGTGTCCAGCCCGTGGCATTGACACTGCCGCTCTCCTCCAGTCCCTGCAGGGTAGCCAGCCACACCTGGAACTCAGAGCCGCTGGGTAGCTGGGCCCAGGAGAAGTTCTGGGTCTCTGGGCCCAGGATCTCCTCACTGTCCAGAACCAGGGGCTTCAGGCTATAAAGCCTCAGCAGGAAACCATCTCTGCCGCCCGGTGGGAGACTCCAGGAAGCCCTCAGCATGGGGGGCTGTTCAACAAAGCCCAGGCTCAAGTTGGCGGGTGGAGCAGGTGCTTGGAGGAAGGGAGAGACAGACTTAGAGCAACCTGAATCCCCCACCTCTCCTTTCCCAGATAAGGTCCAAATCCCACCCTAAAACTCCAGCTTCCGCAAGGCTCAGCTCCCACCTTCCTCTCCTTCCGGAAATCTCTCGCAGGAAAGCCTGTGCCATGCCCACGCCCTGCCCCTATGGCGTGGAGAGGGCACCATGCCTGGTTCACCACACCTCTGTGAGCTCCGTGCCTGTTCGCTCACATCCTGCACGGTCCTACTCTCTAGCTCGTCTGCTGACAGTTGCACCAAGGCGTCCATCTGTCTGTCTGCCTCCGGGCTGTGGGCCTTGGCGCATGCTTAGCCTCCTGCTAAAGCCTGTTTCCCCCGCCCCACAGGCTTCTCACTCACTCACTCCTCCCCTCCGGGAACCCAGTTTTGACTCTAAGCAGGTGTCCTTTTGGTCTGAATCATCAGATTGAACCACATACAGTTCCTGGTGTCCAGCCATTCTAACCAACTCACATGCAGTTTCATACAATTCAAGCTAACATATCAGGCATATTCCTACCAGTGCACTTACACTTACTGTAATATGATATATAAAAATCATACACATTACAGCTATAAACCCTCTGTCAATCTTCCTTTCTAATGGTCTTGCTTGTAATTCTTGACTGACCTGATACCTAAAAAATGGGAGGTATGAAATATTTGCTAGATGGAAGGAAAAGAAGCAAGGAAGGAAGGGAGGCAGAGAGGGGTGGAAAGAGAGAGGGAGGCCACAGACAGGTAGGTGAGTGCAAGGCTAGCCAACCACCTGGTAGGAGGTGGAAAATGCTTGCAAGAAGATTCATAAAAGACCCCACCTTGAACTGATAGCCCTCAGAGTATGACACGCAGAAGGGCAGAGAACAGAGAAAGCTGGTCCTGGCCCACCGCCTTGGGCTGGCTGAGCTAGGAACTCACGGGTGCAGGCGTGGGTCCTCCGGGGGCTGGAGTGGAGGTTCCCTGCCCAGGCCTGCACCGACACAGTGTAGCAGGAGCCAGGCATCAGACCCCGCAGAACCACACTGCAGTCGTCTGGGCCCAAGTCAGCCCGGCCACCCAGGGCCCTCCGGCTGCCTTCCTGGTGCCAGGTGACCATGTAGCCTTCCCGTCGCCCTGGTGCTGGGGCCCAGCCAATGGTCAGGTCAGACAGGCTGGCTCCACCAGTGACCTCCAGTGACTGTGGTGCCAGGGGACCTGAAGAGCAGAGGAGTTTGGTGAGGGGCCCCTATCGTGTCAGTGGCCCTGCTGTGCCTTCTGCCTGACTCTCACAAGCCTCTCCCCTACAGTGCCTGCGCTCCCAAGCTGAGGCCTTCCAGCTCCAGCCCAGGGGACGCCAAGGCTGGTACTCACTTGTGTGGCCTGTGAGGCTCTGGATGATAACGCCCAGAGATGAAGCAATGTCCACCCGGTAGCGGGCCCCAGGCACCAGCCCGCAGAAGGCAATGTGGTTGGTACCACAGGGCACGGAGATGTTTCCCAGGAGGCCTGAATCACCATCAGCATAGAGCAGTGCCCGCCTCCTGGGCTCCCTGGTGGCCTCCAGACCATCCACCTGCAGCTTGGCACCACAGCCCTGCCTCGTGTGGGCTGCAGAATCTGGTGGGGAAGCAGCCCCAGAGCATGAGGACTCACCTGCCTCTTGATGCCAGTGGCCCTGCCCCACCCTGATCCTCCTGGCCCAGACTCACCATCCAGCCAGGCACTGGCCTGGGCACAGGCATCATAGGGCCCAGCCAGAACCTCCAGCTCCAGGCCATAGTGTCCAGTGGGCAGGGGCCCTGGCAATGTGGCATTGCAGGCCTCCGGGCCCAGAGTGGCACGCTTCTCTACTGGCCCACTTAACTTCAGCACATAGCCTTCTCGGGCTCCTGGCCCTGGCTTCCAGCTTGCCCAGAGCCCAGGGGGCGCAGGAGTCAGCACCAGGTCCAGTGGGGCAGAGGGATCTGTGGAAAGGGAGCAAATGCTCCTTAAGGACCTAAGGAGGGTTCTCACCAGGTGAGAACACAGAGATACTGAGAGTAAGAGCAGAGCTGTCGCTCTTTGCAACAGCTGCTTTCTGCATGCACCAGGCCATGTCTCACTCATCCAGATGTTAGCCGGAAAACTGGTTTCACGACTAGCTTTAAAATCTATTTGCCACACGCTGGATGAATACCACGATCTGGTAGCCATGGACAGCAATGATGAAAACAAGAGCATATTTGTGTCCACCAGTGTGGTTCTGAGGACCCTACATGCAGTATCTCACACTTAACCCTCACAGCACGGGGACTTGGACACCAGTCTTCAAAGATACAGAAACTAACGCCCAGAGAGAGTATGCAGCTTGGCTAGAGACCCGCAGCCAGTGGGTGGCAGAAAAGAAACCGAGAACCCAGGTAGCCTGGCTCCTTGCCTCTGAGCCCTCGCACATCAGTGATTCTCAGAGAGGGAAGCTCAGTGTCACCCTGGGCTCTGCAAGTGTCCGTGCCAGGTCCAGACCAACCTGGCCACTTGTATGCAGTGTGACCTGAGATTCTTTCCCTGTGCACCTCAGCTCTCTCCACGGTAACACGACTACCTAGGGCTAGCTTGAGAAATAAATGAAAGCATACACAGAAAGTGCCAAGAACAGAGTTCACCCCCCAGAGAGGCTCGACTGATGGTCACCATTACTTCTGACATCACCTTCTCAGGTGGTCACCAGGCAACTGGAGGGCACACTCTCCAAGCCTCTGGAAGATGCCCACTCCCCCACCAGCTGAATCTGAGCTCCTTGCCAGAGCAGAGGAGCTGAGCAGTCTCTGCTGTGCCCCTTTCCCCTCACTCACAGGTCCACTCTGTAACACTGGGCCCCATGGCCCGATGGGGCCCGGAGGCAGCACTAAGTGTCAGCTCATAGCGGGTCCCTGGAGACAGGTGGAGGAAGGTATGGTTTAACCCTCCTCGTTTGACGATTGCAGTCAGGTTAGAGCCACCTAGGAGGTCTGTGAGCACCAGATGGAGCCAGGCGGTCCCCTCAGAGCTGTTCCAGGAGGCTTGCAGGACACTGGTGCCCAGGGCATGTAGCACCACGTGATCCGGAGCCACAGGGTCTAAAGGGAGGACAGCGGAGCAAAGCCAAGCTTGAGGAAGAGCCCTGGAGCCAGATGCTGGCATTGATTTTGGCCCTAGGGATCCCAGGAGCCTAGCCACATGGGGACCCAATGCCTACAAGGCTCTGAGCTCACCATCTCTCCTGCCTTTCCCAGATTGGCTGCCACCCAGGGCCCTGCTAGGTGCCCAACTTACCTGTCCACTGGTGGACGCTGGTCTCGGCCTGGAGATCACCAGCCCAGGTGATAACCTCTAAAACATACTTGCTACCTGGCAAGAGGTTGCCAAAATTATAGGACAGGATATCAGGGGACACAGAGACGTTATAGACCAGTGTTTGGGATTCTTGGTGGTAGAGGAGCAGTTGGTAGCCATCCTGTTCCCCAGGGCCATTACCCCAGGAGGCCTCCAGGCTGCCTGGGCTCCCAGAGCTGCGGAGCTGCAGTCCACGGACAACGGATGGGGCTGCACAGAGGGAGAGAGACGCACCAAGGTCAGTGTGAAGGACCTCACCCCTTCCTCATGGGCTCTGATACCAGACCTGCTTCTCTGAGAAGCTGACCCCTTCAGCTACCCAGCCACCTCCTGCCTTAGCCCTGGGCCTGGCCCCTCTCCCTCACCCTCAGGCCTTGTACCAGTTTGGGCCATGAGGGTAATGGTGACATTCTGCCCACAGGATCGCAAGGCGGTCACTTGTAGCTGGTAGTGACTCCCTGGCACCAGGTCCTGGAACTCAAAGCTGGAATCATTGGTACGGGCCAGGAGCTGCTGCCCTTCGGGGAAGCCAAGTGGGCTCAGACGCGTGAGGCGGAGGGCATGGCCAAGCCCACCCGACCGTGCCACTGCCCAGCTCAGAAGGAGGCTGGTAGGCCTTCCCAGGCTGCTGATGTTCACACTCAGGGGGGGACCTGAGGGAGAGGGGTGCATTCAGAGTCTGCCTGAACCCCTTCTGCCCTAAAGAAGGAGGAAGGCCAAAAGGGGGTGCCAGAGCAGGGCCCGGCAGGAGAATTAGCCCTGCAATCCCCACTCCTTGTCCCAGAGCCCCTCCCCACAAAACACCTACCTCCACCCTCCCCATCTGGATGCCCTTCCAGGGAGGGACATGCGTCTTCCTGCAGGAAGGAGAGAGGAGGGGAGGAGATGGGCAGAGGCCTCTGGGGTCCAGTCCTCTGGGAAAGGCAGCAGAGGACAGGGCCAGGCTCAAGAGAAGGCTCCCCTAGCACGGCCCGAGGGGCTCGTCCTGGAGGCAAGCGTGAGGTGTGAAAGGCAGCCCAGGGCTGGAGCCGTCTGTTCTCGAGGTCCTGTGCTGGCCTGGGAGCAGCCACCCTTCCCGCCTAATGCAGACCAGCTGTGGGGCTCTGTGGAGAGGTGGGAGACCTGCATATGCCCTGGACAGCAGGAGCCCACCCACCGGGCCCCAGCCCCCATGCCCATCTTACCTCGGCCAAAAATCCCTGGAGCCAGAGGACAGCAGCGAACAAGACCGAGGGCCTCATCCCGATGATGTCTGCAAAGGAAAAATTCAGAGGCAGCGGGAGGAGGAGGCGGTGCCCCAGCCCGCCCTTGCCCTGCTGGCAGGCGGGCGGGCAGATGGGCAAGGGTGGGAAGGGTGGGGTTTCAAGTAAATGCAGGCAGCAAAAAAGCCAGGGGTTGTTTCTGAACCCTAGCCCCTGAACCCAGCCGCGCCCAGGTTTGGCACAGCTTGGTGAGGGGAGCCAGGCGGAGACTGGCAGGGGGCCCAGAAGGTGGAAGGTACTGCAACTCCCACACTGCAGCCGAGCCCACCTCCTCCTCTCCTCTCCCACTGCCAGCGGCTGGCTGTCCAGGAAGGAGAAGACTTAAGCTCGCAGAGAAGAGGAGCAATGGCCTTGCAAATGGACACATGCAGCACAGCTGGCAACTGCCCCACCCCCTGCCTCGGAAGCGGGGCTGCGTGACAGATAGGGTGTCTGTGTTTCCACAGGGGTCCAGTCCCCATCATGTGGATGGGTTTTGAGCTCAGTGTGGATGGGCCGGCTGAGTGTGTGTCCACTTGGAGCATCCACACGGCACCTTGCTCTAGTGCACAGAGGCGAGGAAGAACAGCGCTCAGGCCCCGAGTCACAGTCACTGTGGCTCTACAGTACAGCACACCTGGATCTTGGGACTCATCTGTCCCGCCAAACTGGGACCTGGGACTTCTGGCTCCACTCGGCACAGAGAGGAAACTGTTCCTGACTCCCAACTGCGGACCTCTGCTTGGATCCCTCAGGGTACCGGCTCTCTAGGATGTTTGCCTGCCTCCCCCACACACTCTCTAGGTGAACATCGCCTGTCCTGGCTCCCCAGGCCCTCCCAGCCCCCACAGGCTCCAGAGGCCCAGCTGCACCTTCCCGAGGCCTGGCCTAGAAGATGTGGACCTCAGACTTCGCTTTAGCCCCCTGCAACCCTGCTGCTCACCCAGGTGCTCCCACGCCAAGCCCCCCAGTGGGAGGCAGGGGAGGGGCAGAGGAAACCTGCCCACTGGCCCTGGGAAGGAAGCCCAGGACTCAGCAGCTCAGCGAGCAAGTGTGCATAGGAAATGGACAGGTGCAGAGTCTCTGAACAGCGAGACAGCTTCTGGGGGTGGGGGACTCCCCCAGACCCGTCCCGGCAGGGAGGACAGGCCTGCATCAGAGACAGCCCAGCCCGGCGCTCACTCAGGCCAGAGCCAGGGGCTGCCACCCTCCCCCATCCACTCAGCCCTAAACCTCAGAGCCGCCCACCGGCCCTGGATGGGGGCCTGGAAACTCTGCACTGCGGACTCATCAGATTTTCCAGGCCAAGCGTGCGTGTGAGTGTGAATGAGTGTGTGTGTGTGTGTGTGTGTGTGTGTGTATGTGTGTGCATGCGCATGCATACACAGGCATGCATGTGCTCTTCTGAAAGAATCAGGGTGGGGGCTACTAATAAGGAAGTGGATGTGAAAGGGGAGAGGTCTCTGGCCCTGTCTGCTGGACAGTGGGGGACACAGCCCACCCTGCTCCTTCCCCCACCTCACCTGGGAACGCCTCACACTCTTCTTTCTAGCAGAGTCTCCAGTGGCAGCCACCACGGGGAGAGGCAGGGTGGGAGCATACTAATTCAGGATCTAAGCGGAGGAGACGCAGCAGGATACCATGTAAAGGAGGTCCCAAGGGTACACACAAAAGAGAGGCCTGTTGCCAAAAGCACAGCCCCCAGGATGAGTCCCATGGACAGAGCCTTGGGGAGGCGTAGCAGGCCCAGCTGCCAGCCCCTCACCCTGTCAGGACCACTCCTGGGAGGGATAAGGGGGCTCTGGTGGGGACACAGAAAGGGTCTGGCTGATAAGAATCAGCACCCGCTCCCACCCCTAAACACAGGCCAAGCCTCTCCATTCAGCAAAAAATGTACCACAGGGCTGTTTCTCCTCCCCGGCAGCCACCCCCACAGACAAACCCACATCCTCTCCCTAGAGAACCCCTGGGGTCCTCCCAAGGTCTCAGAGCACCTTACTGGTTCCTTCTGGAAAGAGCCAGCCGGGAGGCAGAGGAGGTTGGTGGCAGGTCCCAGCTCCAGCTCCCCAGTGAAAACCAGCCTGCTCTGCCCCTGCAGCTGTCCCAGGCAGGCAGCTCTTCCGGCCCCTCTTCTGCTCTCCCCCAGCCCGGAGCCAGGCCTTGGGCATCTCCCACGCAGGAGGAAGATAATCACCAGGCAGGAGAGGACAAGTCACCCACTCTCCCTCCTACGCCCTGGGGAAGGTCGTCAGGGAAGGAGGAAGGCCCCAGCTCCCCAGCAGGCTGTGGGAAGACAGGCGGGGGCCAGTGGGGTGCTGACTGCATGCAGACTGACCGCGTGCGTGTGAGCGCACCCAGGACCGTCGAGGGTGCACACGTCTGTCTGCAGAGACGCATGAGTGTGTACCTGTGGACAGCATCGAGCAAGAGGGAGACAGGAGGCCCGCTGGGGGAAAGGGCCACATTGTGGAACCAGTGTCCGTTTTGCTGTTTGTGGTTTGGGGGAAGGAAAGACTCTTCTCTGTCCTGCAGTCCCCGCCTCTGGGGTCCCTTGTTCCAGCAGCAGGCAAAGAACCAGGCTCTTCCCGGAGCTCCGCAAGGCTGGTCCTAGCTCCCCGTGTTTCACTGGCCTGGCTCGCTGTCCCTTCAGCCAGGGTGAGGTGGATGGCAAAAGTAGCAGAGGGAAACTGAGGCACCGTGGGGGTGGCATCTGGGATAGCCAGCCTGGGGTACGCCTGGGACATGCCCTATAGGCCTCCCTCCCTTGCCCTCACAGTGTTTCTCCTCTCTGGCATCTCTGCTCCTCCTCCCTGAGCTGCGTCTCTGTCTCCTCCACTGTGCCAGGGACAAGCCTGGGCCCGCAATCAGAGCAGACAAGCCAGCTTAGGTTGGCCCCAGGTTTGAGCAGGGAGGGTGAGGACTCAGGAACAGCCCCCTCAGATGCGAGGGCTTCTCCAGAGAGAACCAAGGAGGCAGCTGGAGAGGACACAGGACAAGTGGAGGGTGTGAGACCCAGGAGTCCCTGCCTCAGCAACCGGCTCTTCCCCAAGAGCCCCCCCCCCACCGGGGAACTTTAGGGTGGCAGCCTTTGCCTTTGGAGGTCCCTGTTCTCTAGGCACTGCCAGGGAACAGGGACTTTTGGGAATTGCAGAAACACCCTCTCCCCATACACCAGGACACTTGGGACAGAGAGCTGTGGCTCACAGCGTCCCAGAACGGGTAGTGACAAAGGAGGAGGACTGGGAGTTAGGTAGTGAGTGTGTGTGCAAGGCCAGACCAACTGCAAGCCTCAGATGGGCCAAGGCATGTGCTCCTGCCCTGCACCTGCCCCTTCCTCACCCGACTTGGGATCTTGGACACCATCCTCGCCCCATTTGGGCTGGGAGTAGACTATGTCTCATTTGGGCTGCAGGAAGCCTCTCCTTCCTGGAGCTCCCACTGTGGGGTTGGAACCCCAAGCTGGCTGCAGTGAGGAGGATGGCGGGTGTCTAGTATGACAGGCTCCACTTGGCTTCCATGGCTCCTCTACCCTCATGGCTGCCTGGCCCCTCCCAGGCTAGTTTCCTTTGCTTCTGCTGACAGCTCCTCTGTCTGCCCCTGCTGTTATGATCCCTAGTGTCAACCCCCTGCGGAGGCAAGAGGCTGCTGAGGAGACTCAGGGAGGCTCAAGGTCACGTAGCTACTGAGCTAGTTTCCTCAGCACATACAGCTCTTCCTGGCTTCCAACCATGACTGCATGTACTCTGCAGTTACAGGTAGCTGGAACTTAAGACCCAACTCAATCAGAGGGACAGAAGTTTGAGAGCTGCCCGGACAGGGCCCGCCCAAGGACAGGAAGATTCACAGTGGAGTGGCTGTTGCTTCAGGAGCCTCCCAGCCTCCAGGATGGTGCACAGCCTACTCCAGAGAGGGCAGAGAGGGGAGGCCAGGCTCTCAGGCCGGGGGGAAGGGGCTGGTGCTGCGTGAGGACATCTGTCTCGTCCCATCTGAGGCTCTGGTCCCCCTACCTCCATAGATGTTCAGGTGTTGAAGGCAGAAGGGGGAGAGGGAGTGGCAGGAGCTTGGAGATGGCTCTGCCCTCCACCCAGACCCACCCGAAGGGAATTAGAAGCCCTCGGGGTCTTGCCTAACGCCCAGCGTTATCCCCACCCCAGTGCCAACTACTTTCCCCATCCTCCTGGCTCCCAGCATCTGCACTGTCTGCCCAAGAACTCAGCTCCCCACCACAGAGGGGCAGCAGCCTGTGAGCAGACAAGGGTGGGCTTATGGCCAAAGGCCTAGACCGTGGAAACCTGGGGGCACTGGGCAGCCGGTGGGGGAGGGCTGTGCCCACTTCCTCCTCCCCCACCCTGTGGTATCCTAGCTTCCTGTTCTTGATCACAATCAACAGCAGCCCCAAGGAGGGAGCTCTGCTTCCAACCCCTTTCTATGCCTTCCTTTATCCCTGGGCCTCCACTGTCCACCAAGGGAAGCCCTGACCTGTGTGCGGAGGTCAAGGCAGAAGCCAGCCTCGGGTCCCTGCCCACAAGTACACTAGGGATTCCCAGGCTCCTGTTCCTTTCACCCCATCCTGGCACTGCAGCCAACAGCTTCCCCAGCTCTCCCTGGCCTTCTCAGGGAAATCCACCCACTGCCCTAGGAGCACAAAAAGGGACCCAGGATCAGCCAACCAGGGAGAGGCTCGGGAAAGAGCCAGTCCCCTCCCCAGTGCCAAGGGCGAGGGCAGGTGCCATGAGACTCCTGAGCTCCCAAGGGTCATCTTTGTTCACCTGAGCCCTTCTGCCCCATGGGCCAGCAGCCAGCCCCCCAACCGCCCCTGCTCCGTGCCCCCCGCACCCCTGTGCCTATTTATTGTACATCATTTCTTTTTTGCTGTCACCTTTTGACAGCTGAATCAGAGAAGTGGGAGGAAGAGAGAGGATTGGAATTGCGCTTCGGGGACCGGGAAGAGAAGGGAGTCTCTAATATTACAAGGCAAAAGGAGCAAAGTGAAGATCATGACCACAAACCAGCTGGGCTGTGGGCCAGCAAGAGGCCTTCAAAAGCCAGGCAGGGCCAGGGAGTTCTGGACTCCTGGACTCAGAGGCCACTCCAAGATGCCCCAGCAGCAGAAAGGACATTGCAGTCCCTGGGGAGCCCAAGGCCTGACAAATAGCTGTAAGTCTTCTGAGAAGATGTCAGGGCTCTAAGAGGAGGCCCGGAGGGGCGGAGGGCCCTGGGTGCCCCCCGGAGTCTCTTCTGGGGGACTGAGTTATGCAGGGCAAGGGAGAGGCGCACAGGTGTAGGATCAGGGCCTGTGGACAGGGTTCCGGCCTGGCCCTGGCACTTCCTTCTTATGCAGAATTCTGGCCTGCTCTTCCGCCACCCCACATCTGTGCCACCTCTGCTCTGGGAAGATGTGGCCTGTGCTTGGCTGTGAATTCCCAAGTCTTGAAGTAGCAAGGGCTTCCAAGGAGAAGGCTCTGGGATAGAAGCAGAGACGTGGAAATAAGTGGCTAAGGTAGGGAGGAGTCGGAGGAACCTGGGGCTCTCAGAGGGACCACAAAGAGCTGGGGGAAGCTGCTCTTTGTCCAGAAAGCAGGCTGAAGCAGGACAGGATAAGGACCCGGCAGTGAACATGGCAAGAGGGACTGGGTTTGGGAGCCAGGGAAAGTAGGTGGTCAGGGAAGGCCCAGCCCTTTGTCCATTCCCAGGACACCCCCAGCCTGCCCCTAGGGACACAGGCAGAGGCACCCGACCCCTGGCGGCAGCTGCAGCAGGCACAGGAGGGCAGTGTGCAGCTGGGGTGTGCGTGGGTGGAAGCGAGGAGGGGCGGAGGGAGGAAGCTGGCTTCCTGAAGCCTTCTCAGCCCTCAAAGACAGACCGACAGACAGACAGACAGCTGGCAAGGAGCAGCCTGGGGACACAGTTGCTTCAGTAAGTGTTTGAAGAAGGTTCGGGAGTGCATGGCCTTGGGGCCGGGTGAGCCCCAGGGAACAAGAGGGCATCTTGGAGGAGGGTATATGGGAGGGTGAGTGGGGCCCCCAAGCCTGGTTGGGGCATGGGTGCTGGTATGCCCGACATCCCTGAGGCTTGGAGGACAGGGAAACCACAGGGAGAGCAGAGCAAAAGGGCCCACTCTTGCTGTGGGAACCACTCTCTGTCTCCCGCACCTGCGCCAGCCTGTACTGTCCCCTCACCTTCATCCCTGTGGGCTGATCAACCCAATCACCCCTTCACTCGGCACCCGGGGCCCCAGCCCTGGGAGAAGAGGGCTGCCCTCCAGAGGAGGTGGCCTCATCACCTCTTTCGTCCCTCTTGTGCCACCCCCATGGTGATCTGTCGCCTCACCATGCACTGTCGCTCACGGGCTCGGTGAGGCCATTTCCTGTGACGGTTACAGAGGCGGGAGATGGGGGGATGGGCAGGAGGAGGAAGGAAACACCCCCGGCCTGCCTCCCTGGACAGAGAGAGACCCCAGAAGCCAGAAATGAACTTGCGAGTGGAACCACCAGCAGTTAAAAGAGGACCCCGTCTACCCGTGTCCCCAACTGGCTCCAGTGCTGTTACCCGCCCCCAGTTTGTCATTCGGACGAGGCCTGCTGTTTAGACTCAGAGACGATTTCTGTGCGCTTCTTCCCATACTTCTGCGTGACAGTTTACGTTCCTTTCCTTGCCTTTTCTCACCTGGACCCCAGGTTAGACCTCTGCGCATCTTGGTCTTCCTTTCTTCTTCCTCCTTCTGGATTCCTTCCATCTTCATCCACAATCTCCACCCTTCTGCCTTGCCCTTGCTATAACCCCAGAATGCCCACTGCCCTGGCCACTACCAATGAGATCTTGTCCTTCTCAGGGTGAAAACTGCCCTTCTCAGGGCTAGCTTAGGGGGAGCAGAAGGTACTCCCAGTGCAAACAGAGCAGACCACCTGCCTGGACTGGGAAACCTCTCTCTGGCCCATCTGGCAGGCCAGATGCTAGCATCTGTGGGACCTTCTCTTCCAGGGAACAGCATGGCTGAGTGAGCCGCCCCTGGGCCCGCACCCACCCCAGCATGGTCCAGGCCTGTGGGGGGTGCTCCAGAGAACAGTCGCTGGCCTTATCTTTGGGGGCAGCCATGACCCAGCCTCCGCCCACCAAAGCACCACCCAAGAAGCATGTGCGGCTACAGGAGAGGTGAGGTCTTTCCTGGGGCCGAGGTCTTCCCAGCCCTCCAGCTCTGACAGCTGACTCCAGAGGGCCTCAGGAGTTGACTTCAGTCTGGAGAGGAAACCAATAATGTTCACTTGCATGTTGTTTGCATGTCCTTTGCATGTCTGGGGCACAGTTTGCGTCCACCTGAGCCTGTTCCCTCAATACCAGGTTGGGTTGGCATAAGCCCTGGGCCAAGGCCAGAGGCTGCCTGCTGCTGGGTGTGGGTCTGAGCTTCAGGGCCAGGATGGGGTCGGAAAGAGGTGGGCAACTGAGGGGGGCAGTGGTTCAAGGCTGTTCCACTGGGGCTGAAGAAGGGAGAAGGGCGTGCAGAAGGAGTGTGAATCCTTGAAGGCCGGCCCTCTGGGTCATAAGAAAGACAAGGTGTGGCCTCCTCAGATGTGCACTGTATCGAAAATTGTAAGAAAAGCCAACATCAGTGGGCGCTCACTGGGCACTGGTTGGCTGTGCTTGCAGGAGGGGATCCAACGTGGCTCTGATGCTGGACGTGAGATCCCTGGGCACCGTGGAACCCATCTGCTCAGTGAACACGCCCCGTGAGGTCACCCTGCATTTTCTGCGCACCGCTGGACGTCCCCTTACCTGCTGGGCCCTGCGGCACCAGCCCCCCAGCCCCAAGCAGCTGGAGGAGGAATTCTTGGTAAGAACTTGAGGTCCCCTCTACATTGCTCTGAAACAGAGGCAGCCAGGTGGTCTGACTTCATCTCAGGCGACTGTTCAGGACTCTTAGGAAGCGAACCCCAGGACTCAGGCGAGGACGCTGTCCCCATACTTCCTGTTTTGCTCCCCAACCCTCCTGGGCCTATACGCCAAAGCCAAGAAGGAATGGCTAGGGCCCGATTCCACCAGAAAAGGGTGAGAGAGATGAAGAGGAGGCTGGGGGAAGGTATCTGTTGTTGACTGATTTCTCCCCCTGCCAGAAGATCCCCTCAAACTTTGTCAGCCCAGAAGACTTGGATATCCCTGGCCACGCCTCCAAAGACCGATACAAGACTATCTTACCAAGTAAGGATTATACCAGGAACTAAGGGAGGTGGGCCCTGTTTGAGGCTGGGGAGCTTCAGAAGGAAGGACCACAGGGCTCAGAGCATCCTCTGTCAGCAGAGAAATCCCCTACCATGTCCCGGGGGGAAGACACAGGGACACCAGTGACAGCATTGGCAGATGTTCACTGTGGACACTGCCCTACGCCCCTTATACAAAGCCATTTCTCCCAGTGTCCCCTTGAAACTGGCACTGTGGCACTAGTATGCCCATTGGAATGAGGAAACCGAGGCACAGAAAAGTGGCCTAACTTGCCCAGGGTCCCAAAGCTGGTGCCCCAAGCCTTCCACATCTTCCTCCCGTGTGGGGATGCGGTGGAGAAGCTCCATCAGGACGGCTCCCCAAGAGAGGCTCTGAGAAACCCAAGGCAGTGACCGTAGGACTGCAGTGACAGGGAAGAGGAGACACCAGGCTGTACGGGTTGAACCCAAGGCTGACAGACCCAGGGTGTGCACCTCGTATTTTTCTGAGGCAGGCATGAGGCCCTCAGAGCCTCTCCAGCCTCCCCCTTTCTTACCTTGCTAGCCCAGCTCTAGTTACACCCAGGCTTGAAGCCTGAGTCAGCCACTCCACATCCTGCCTCCTGCTGGCCCCCCTCCCACTACCCTCTGCCTGCAGGGTGGCTCAAGGGGCCTGGCACATGTGTCCACGTAGGGAGAAACCCTTGTCCTTGGCCTAATTCTAACTAGCCCTGGGGCCACCAGGGAGGGGAAGGTCCCTTTGCCTGAGATTCCCCTCATCTCCAGAGGTCCCTCTGTCCACAACCAGGCTGGCACAGGTAGAGGGAGAATCCCCTCTCTCTTCCTCACAAGGCTACAGCTTTATCCCTGTACAGGTTTGGTTTGGAGAAATCCATCCCCCTGAGCGGGGACACTATACACCTGGAGCTAAGTGAATCCAGTTCCTACTCCCACTCCATATGTGACCTCAGGCCAGTCGTTCATCTGAATCCCTATTCACCATCAGAAAAACAGCATCTTCTTTTTCCATTCCTGTTGCTACCGTCCTACGCGGGAGGGGAGAATTTAGGGTACCTTCTGTTCAGCCTCTGTTGCTCTTCTCCCTTTCCTGTCTAGTGCGACCTGCATAGCACTCAGTCTTTCCAAACTATTGGTGGTTGTTTGTTCTGTTCACTTTGCAGCAGTAGAGATTGAATCCAGGACCTCATGCTACACAAGCACTCTGCCACTGAACTACATCCCCAGCCCTTTTTTTCTTATTTTAGGACAGGGTGTTGCTAAATTAGCCAGGCTGGCCTCAAGTTTGCGGTTCTCCTGTCTCAGCCTCCTAAGAAGTTGGGATTACAGGCATGTGCCCAGCCAAGTCTTTACTCAAAAACATTCTGCAGCTCCTTATTATTTATGCAGAAAATGATTTAAGGAGGCATGTGGCACACACCTGTAACCCCAGGTGCTTAAGAGGTAGAGGCAGGAGGACCACAAATTCAATGCCAGCCTGGGCAACTTAGCGAGACCATGTTTCAAAATTTAGAAAAGCTTTTTTAAAGTGATGGGGATGTAGCTCAATGATAGAATGCTTGGATGGCATGTGCAAAGTCCTGGGTGCAATTCCTAGCACTGCACAAAATAACAAAAAAGGATGAGAATGCAGTTCAGTGCTCCCTGGTTTCAATCCCCACTGCAGTGATGATGATGATGACGGTGTCAATGAGTACCAGCTGGGCCACCTGCTATACACAAAGTACCACGATGCACACAAGAGCACTCTCGCCTCCACCCCCATGAGAGTCTGCATTAGTCGGTCACCTTTTGATCTCTGACCTCTGCTGCTGTTTGCTTCCTAGATCCCCAGAGCCGCGTCTGTCTTGGTCGGGCACAGAGCCAGGAGGATGGCGACTACATCAATGCCAACTACATCCGCGTGAGTAGCCTGGCTTCAGCAGCAGAGGGTGATGGGGGGATGGTTTTGAAGATGTCAAGAGTCTCTCCCAGCTGTGGCTGGTGGGTCAGATGCCAAGGAGTCCACCTCCGCTCCAACTCACTGTTCCCATAGCCCTGCTGCTGAGCAGACCCCAAGGCACCAACCCAGAAAACACAGCAGATATTAAACATTTCTTAAAAAAAGACAGAGAGAGACTATCAAATTTCCTCAACCTATTCGATCACTTTATGTATTCCAACCCTCTAACCTTGGCAGGAAGTTAGCATGGTTGAAATCCAAGGCTGGGGGTGGTGGGCATGCCCATGATCCCAGCACTTGAGGGGCTGAGGAAGGAGGATCACCTTGAGTTCAAGGTCAGTCTGCACTACGCAGTGAGACCTTATCATAAAAAGAAAAAAAGAAATCCAACCACTAGCTCCTTATGGACTAATTGCTCCTGAGATCTGCATGAGAGGCCAATACCAGTGAGCGTCTCTCCCTCTTTCTGTCCTTCTCATTTTCCCTGTAAGCAGCCCCTCCTTTGTGGAAATGGTTCGTTTCATGTCCAACTAATAGAAACCTCAAGGCACCGCAGATTCTCTGGCTTCTCCCCTCTGTTGGCCCTGAGTAGACGTAAAAGCTGTGCCCTCTGGTGGTCAAAGTGGTAGGATAGCAGGGGTGGAGGCGGAGACGAGAAAAGCTACTAACAGCGGGGAACCGGGGACCTCAGCTCCAGCCCAAACCAGGCCAACAACTAGTGGATTTCAGCATCATCTTGAAGAGCAGGAAGTTGCGGACCCTGAAAGGGAGAACAACAGGGCAGGGAGACCATGCTACGTTTTGTTGCTAAATATATAATACAAAAAAGTGAAACATTCCTTCACAAATATTGAACACTGTTTGTAATGGAAGAAAATAGCACGGGAGAAAGGGAACAAACATTTATAGAAAAAAGGGTGATTGAAAACTACAGTGCATTCACAGAAATCAGTAGTATTCCTGTACACCAAAAATGAACCCACTGAGAAAGAAATCAAAAAAGCAATAATATTCATAATAGCTTCAAAAGAATTAAATACCTAAGTATTAACCTAGCCAAGGAAATGAAAGACCTTTATGATAAAAACTATAGTACTCTAAAAAAGAAGTTCAAAGAAGATATCAGAATATATTCTGTTCCTAGATGGGCAGATCCAGTATTGTCAACCTGGCCGCATTACCAAAGCTGATACACAGATTTAATGCAATACCAACACCAATACCAACAGCATTCATCACAGAACTAGAAAACATAATCCTAAAATTCATATGGAACCAGAGGAGATCCAGAATAGTGACAGCAATCCTGGGCAACAAAAGTAAAGGAAGAGGCATTGCAATCCCGAATTTCAAGTTATAGTACACAGCTTCAGTGATAAAAACAGCGTCGGGGCTGGGGATTTAGCTCAGCGGCAAAAGCGCCTACCTGGCAAGCGCAAGGTCGTGAGTTCGGTTCCCGGTACCGGAGAAAAACAAAAACAAAAACAAAAAAAAACAGCGTGGTACTGGCACAAAAATAGACATGTGGATCAGTGGACAGACAGAGAATGCAAAAACACCTCCAGGTACACTTGACCATTTGATCTTTGACAAAGAGGCTAAAAAACACACTCTAGAGAAATGATAGCCTTTTTAACAAATGGTGGTAGATAAAATGGCTATCCACCTGCAGAAGATTAATCTAGACTCATGTCTTTCATCATGCACTAAAACAAAATCAAAATGAATCAGAGACCTACATATTAAAACAGAAACATTTAGTCCAACAGGAGCTAAAATAGATGAAACTCTTGAAGGGCCGGGTGTGGTGGCACATGCCTGTAATCCCAGCATTCAGGAGGCTGAGGCAGGAGGATCACTGCGAGTTCGAGACCAGCCTGGGCTACAAAGTGAGCTCAAGGCCAGCCTGAACTGCACAGCGAAACGCTGTCTCAAAAAGATGGCAATAAATAAATAAATAAATAAATGGGGCTGGGGATTTAGCTCAGTGGCACAGTCCCTGCCTGGCAAGTGCAAGGTCATGAGTTCAATTCCTGGTACCAGAAAAACAAAACAATAATAAATAAATAAATGACTGAATCAAAACAATAATAAATAAATGAATGAATAAATGTTTGAAAAACAAAACAATAATAAATAAATAAATGACTGAATCAAAAAATAAGCAATTGAAATGAATAGACACTTCTCATAAGAAGTAACAATGGCCAATAAGGACATGAGAAAATGTTCATCATCTCTGGCCATTAAAGAAATGCAAATTAAACAACACTGAAATTCTATTTTACTCCAGAATGAATGGCCACCATTAATAAATCAAGGACCGGCGATATAGCTCAGTGGCACAGCACCTGCCTGGCAAGCACAAGGTTCTGAGTTCTATTCCTAGTACCACCCCCCAAAACAAATCAATAATAACAAATGCTGAAGTGGCTGTGGGGGGAAGGAACCCTACTGCACTGTCGGTAGGAGTGTAGACTGGCACAACTCCCATGGAAATCAGTACAGAGATTCCTCAAAAAACTAAAAAATACTTATTCCATTTAACCTAGTTATTCTCTCTCTGGTGTATTCTCAAACAAGTTAAAGCCATCATATGACAGTGATACATGCACACCTGTGTTCATAGCAACACAACCTATAATAGTTAGATCCTGGAAACAGCCTATATGCCCATCAGAGATGAATGGATAAAAAAAATGTAACATAAATATAAAACAGATAAAGTTTCTGGGCATGGTGGCACCTGACTGTAATCCTAGCACTTGAGAGGCACATGCAGGAAGATCACTGTGAGTTCGAGGCCAGCCTGGGCTACATACTGAGCTCAAGACCAGTCTGAACTACATAATGAGACCCTGTCTCAAAAAAAACAAAAGGATAAATTTGAGTCATTCGAAAAAATAGGGGCTGGGGATTTAGCTCAGCGGCACAGAGCCTGCCTGGCAAGCGCAAGGTCATGAGTTCAATTCCTGATACTGGAAAAATAAATAAATAAATAAA